TATGTGTGCAAGTACCAGCTCTTTATAAAATGTCCCAAAGCTACAAATTTTAAAAATGATTTAGCATAAACTAAGTCAAACCCTTGTGTAAGTTTGTTTAAATTTGAGGATTCTGTCAGATTACAGAATAGTTGGAAATTCCTGCTCAATAATTATGGGCAGATACATACCATTTGAACAGAAATATTTTTCATTATTCATTTAGCAAATAATTTAGTGCTTACTCAAGGCAAAGTGAATATGAAGGTTTCTGCTCTCAAGGAACCCCAATCTAATAGGAGGCTGATAAACTGGTAATTCAAATACAATGTGATAAATACTGTGATAGAATTAGCATAGGTTGTTATAGTAAACTCATCTCATTGGGAAGAAAGGTTGTCACAGTACAGAGAGCTGGCTCAGTGGCTTGAAGCTGTGAACTTAAACATGTATTTAGCCACAATTTGACCTAAAAAAATCAATGTAGGTATGTGTATGTCACTGACAAGATTCAGATTTCATACATTAAAAATTTGATTTAAAAAGTCCTCTCCATTTATATGTTTTCCAAGATTGTTATTCTTTTTTAACACCAAAGTTTTGACATTATTGCTGTACTTTTCATAGAGTAAATATATGTCTACCGTTCACTTTGTTTCCTATTTCTTTTTTTTTCTAACCCTCACCTGAGGGTATATTTATTGATGTGTGAGAGAGAGAGAGAGAGAGAGAGAGAGAGAGAGAGAGAGAGAGATCAATGTGAGAGAGAAACATCAATTAGTTGCCTCCTGTATGTGCCACAACTAGGGATTGAACCCACAACCTAGGTATGTGCCCTGGCTGGGAATCAAACCCACAACCTTTTTGGTTTACTAGACCAACTGAGCTTCCTGGCCAGGGCTAGTTTCCTATTTCTTTTCTCATCATTCCTTTTTATATTTCATACCTTCATTCTAGGATTATCTTTCTTCTTTCTGAAGAATATCCTTTAGAAGTTCTTTGGAAGAGGGTATCTTGGGAATTGGTTCCTAGTTTTTGGTGTATCTAAACAATTTTATTTCTTCTCTTGAAAGGTTGTATAAGGCCAGTAAATCCAAAAATAGGGAACATCTCCCTTATGGTCTGAATAATTATTTCTCCCCCTACTCCCACACCCAAATTCTCATGTGAAAACTCTAACTCTCAGTACCTAAAGTGACTGTATTTGGAGACTGGGCCTTTAAGGGATTGTAATTCTCTTTGATGGTTATTTTATTTCAGCACTCTCAGCACTTCTAGGATCTCATTCCATTGTCTTCTGCTACTATCATCCTGTTGTTATTGAGAAATAAAAAGCAGCACTTCTGGCTATTGTAATGATTTTCTCTTTAGTATGCTAAGGTTTACTCTATGTCTCATGTGGATCTATTTTTAAATATTCTGCATGGGATTTCATTAGATTTTCTGAATTTGAGGAAGAGTCTTGTCAGTTCTGAAAAATTCCCAGCTGTCACTTCAAATATGCTTCTCCCCCTTCTATCATCATTTTCTAAAACATAAATTAGATGTATGTTGGACCTTCCCACTCTGTTACTTATTGCTTAACCCATTCTTTGTAATTTCCCTCTTTTGTTCTCCCTGTGCTACACCCTGTGTAACTTCTTCAAATATGTATATTTTCTAGTTTCTTCTTCTTTCAGTTGTGGTATAAGCTATTTAATATGTCCACTGGGTTTTAAATTTTTCACTTCTCTTGTTTATATTTTTTCTTGTTCAAATCTTCCTCATCAATCTTTTTTTAAAAAAGACTTTATTTATTTATTTTTACAGAGGGGAAAGGAGGGAGAGATGGAAAGAAACACCAGTTGGGTTTTTTTGTGCCCCCCCCTACTGGAGACCCAGCCTGTAACCCAGGCATGTGCCCTGACTAGGACTTGAACCCATGACCCTTTGGTTTGCAGGCTGGCACTCGATCCACTGAGCCACACCAGCCAGGGCTTCTTCACCAATCTTGATAGTCTGTTTTTCCTTCAGTAGTCAGTAGTGTTTGAAGTCCACCTTTAATTTATTTTAAAATTTAATATATCTTATATTTTGTATCTTATAATTTCAATATTTATATCCTTTTTGAGTCTGAAGCTGAGGTTTATTGCTTCTGTTTTTGTGGTTTGTGGACCTCATTTTCTTGGGATTTTATCTGTGGAAATTCTTTAAGGCCTGTGTTTAAAATGCATTTCCCGGGACTTCTAGCCAAGATGGAGGTATAGGTAGACATGCTTTGCTTCCTTGCACAACCAAAAGAAGGATAACTACAAAATTAAAAATAAAAAACAACAGGAACGTCCAGAAAATCAAACTATATGGAAGTCTGACAACCAAGGAGAAAAAAGAAATATTTATCCAGACCATGCCACAACGCAGCAACATAAGTTGCCCCACCCTGGTGACTACCTAAGGCTCTGCCTCTGTTAACATAACAGGTATACTAACACAAAGAAATATGGCTCAAATGAAAGAACAGATCAAAACTCCAGAAAAAGAACTAAGCGATGAGGAAATAGCCAATCTATCAGATGCAGAGTTCAAAACACCGGTAATCAGGATGTTCTCAGAAATGATTGAATACAGATACAAAAATAGAGGAAGAAGTGAAGGTTATGCAAAGTGAAATAAAGAAAAATATACAGGCAACAAGAGTGAAGGGAAGGAAATCGGGACTCAAATCAATGATTTGGAGCAGAAGGAAGAAAGAAACATTCAACCAGAACAGAATGAAGAAACAAGAATTCAGGAAAATGAGGAGAGGCTTAGGAACCTTTGGGACAACTTTAGACATTCCCACATCTGAATCATAGGGGTGCCAGAAGGAGAAGAGGAAGAGGAAGAAATTGAAAACTTATTTGAACAAATAATGAAGAACTTCTCCAATCTGGCAAAGGAAATAGACTCCTAGGAAGTCCCAGAGAGTCCCAAAGCTCAGAGAGTCTCAAAGAAGTTGGACCAAGGAGGAACACACCAAGATGCATCATAATTGCATTACCCAAGATGAAAGATAAGGAGACAATCTTCAAAGCAGCAAGAGAAAAGGAGAGAGTTACCTACAAGGAGTTCCCATAAGACTATCAGCTGATTTCTCAAAAGAAATCTTGCAGGCAAGAAGGGGCAGGAAAGACGTATTCAAAGTTATGAGGCAAGGACATACATCCAAGATTACTCTATTCAGCAAAGCTATTATTTAGAATGGAAGGGTAGATAAAGTGCTTCCCAGATAAGGTCAAGTTAAAGGAGTTCATCATTATCAAGCCCTTATTATATGAAACATTAAAGGGACTTATCTAAGAAAAAGATGATCAAAACTATGAATAGTAAAATGACAACAAACTCACAGTTATCAACAACTGAACCTAAAAACAAAAAACAAAAACAAAGACAAACTAAGCAAACTACTAGAATAGGAACAGAATCACAAAAATGGAGATCACATGGAGGGTTAGCAGCAGGGAGGGGAGGAGGAGAATGGGGGCAAAAGTACAGGGAATAAGAAGCATAAATGGTAGGTAGAAAATAGACAGGGGGAAGTAAAAAATAGTGTAGAAAATGGAGAAGCCACAGAACTTATATGTATGACCCATGGACATGAATGAAGGGGGTGGCGGGATGCTGGTGGGAGGAAGGGATGTTGGGTGGAGGGGGATAATGGGGAGAAAAAAATGGGGCAACTGTAATAGCATAATCAATAAAATATAGTTAGAAAAATAAAATGCATTTCCCTGGATAGAGTTAGTGTTTGCTTATGCCATGGACCTGTGAGAATAGCTGACTTGGGAACACTCTGAAATTTTGCCTAGAGATCTTTCAGGCCATGCCGATACTTCAAAGTTAGGTTCTTAAGCCCACCATTAGCAATTCTCATGGGAAACTTTCTTTCACTTTACTAATTATAGAGGCAGAGACAAACATAGGTTCCCACCTTCTTTTGGGGGGGGCTTCTTTGTTTGTTTTTAGGGGCATTTTTTAAAAAGGTACCACTGAGGGTACCTTTTGAGGGTTCCAACTGAGGGCTCTGGAATTTTTTATAAAGGGCTCTGATCTCACCTCTCACTCTGCTTGAGTCCCAGGATTTTGCTTTTGTGTAAATGGCCTATTAATACCCAGGCTTAATGCAGAGAACACCAGAGGAGCGGTGAGTCTACAGCTCCCTTTACATCTCTGGGTTCGTGCTTTCTTGTTTTCGGTCTGTAAGGACAAACTTCAAGAATGAAACAACCAAGAGGAAGAACCTGGGTGCCTGGGCCCCCAGGCCTCCTCTGCAGTCCTTCATTAAATTAGAGAGCTAATTTACATAATTAATCACACCCATTCATTTTAAATTAATTATATCTTGTCCCTTACTTTCATGGACAACAAATTCATTTACTCATTCATCCAATTGTTACTCTCCCTGTTCAGAGAAACCCAAAGGACCAGGGAATATCTCTGTTATAGACTGGAATGTGTCTTCTACTCTCACACACAAATTCGTATGAGGAAGCTCTAACCCTCAGTACCTCAAAACGACTGTAGGAGATAGGGCCTTCGAAGATGTGATTAGGCTAAAATAAGGCTGTTAGGGTTGGCCCCAATTCAATCTGACTGGGGTCCTTGTAAGAAGAGGAAATTTGAACACAGAGACACCAGGGATATGTGTGCACACAGGCAAGAAGGCAGCGGCCTTTGAGCCAAGGAGACCCCAGAAGCCAAACCTGCCTTCACCTTGATCTTGAATGTCTAGCCTCCAGAACTGTGAGAAAACAAGTTTCTGTTGTTGCTTAAGCCACTCAGTCTGTGGTACTTTGTTACTGCTGCCCTAGCAAACTAACACTGTCCCGAATGCTGCAGTTTCAGACACTGTCTTAGCCTAGAGGGAGGAACTACGGTTTCATCCTGGGGCCTTTCCAAGCTGTCCACATCACACCCATGGCACAGCCTGGTTTGGCAGACAGACTCATCAGCCCAGACTTAGGATGTATCCCAGTCACGCAACATTATGTTTCTCTTTTCAGAGTGTCATTCAAGTCCTTCTGCTCACGACTGAATCTGAGGAGAGGCAACATCTTTGTGATGCTCCAGTCTTTCCCAGATGTCTTAGTTTAGAAGACCTGTGGGGTGTGCTGGAAAGGAGGACCGGAGGAGGTGAGAACAGCCGGAGTTAGGAAGAGGGAAGAAGGAAGAGGGAAGCAGTCTCTCAGGCATGAAACCAGGTTTCTCCCAATAGCTGTGGGTGAGGAAGGCATTTTGTGAGGTCTGGAAAGACACAGGGAAATGCAGGAAGGGAATGATATACCTATTAACCTTATTCATTTCTTCCCCCACCCTTTTTCTATGACAAATTCATTTTCTCATTGAAAACATATTTACTGAGCACAATCACTGTATTGGCCCGCAGTTGGAAGGGGACAGCCGGTTTCCAGCAGCTCCAAGTCACTCCGGCAGGAGAAGCACTGAGCATGCGCGGACAGGAGTGTTGAATGTTTCCGAGGGGGTAGTAGGGGGCGCTGTAGGAGCACGTGCACAGAAAGACCCGACTGGACCTGAAGGTTTCAGTGAAGTTGAGACCTGAAAGCAGAGGAGGTTGAGGGAAAGGGTTCCAGGCAAAAAGAACCGTGTTATCAAAGCTTTAAAGTAATTCAAGTGTCAGTTCACAACACTGAAGCTGAGTGGCTGGACTGTGGGGTTTTGGGGACAGTGGCAGGGCTTGAGGCCACAAGCAGAAGCCTGTTTTTAAGGAAAGCGTATTTCAGACTCTCCCTGAAGTCCAGTGCAAACTACAGGGTTTAACAGTGTGACTTGACCTACCTGGATGGTTGGATCATGTTTGGAAGGCTGCTGCGAGAGATGCTGGTGGCTTGGAAGGGGGTAACTTCTGTGAGCACTGAGAAAAGTGACAGATTTAGAAGCTCTGGAACGTCCTAAAGGATCTGATATGGGGCCAGGGAGAGGGAGGAACTAGTGTGACTCTCAGGTTTTTAGGAAGACTGTGCAGAGCTAGAAGAGAAGAGGGTCTACATGTCAGTCTAGGAGGTCTGTCCATGGGAAACAGGGCTTTTTAAAAAAGAGAATACGAGTATGGAAAAAGAATAATAATATCTGGAAACAGCATTGTGGTGCCAAGGGATGGCATATTGTGTCATTGTTCAAAATATTTGCTGCCTCTCCTGAAAGACACCCCAGTTGGTATCGGCCTTGGCCATATGACTTGCCAATAAAATGTGAATACAAGTGATGCCTAAGTGGAAGCATCAAAAGCCAACTCATGGCTGTCCATATGTCTTTTCCCTCTGCCAGGAGATTGGCAATGCTTCAGCGACTGCCCTGTGAACGAACATCCTGGGTCCCCAAGTGAAGACAGGGAGCAGAGCCCAGCCGACTTGGGCTGGACATGGTGGGCACACTACCCCTCTCTTCCTTTAAGCTTTGAGCTGTTTGGCAGGTGCAGGGAATGAAGAACCTTGCATGAGGACTGTGGCGCTCATCTTCAGGGAAGGAGCCACCTTTAGTTAAGGTACGAGTCGGAGGTGTCGCCCGATGGTGGTTGGCATCAATTCAGACGCCTACAGGAATTCCCAATTTGGGGTGCAGTGAATAAGGAAAATTTATTTTGTGAAAACGGTTTGATGGTAATACAGCATGGCTGTGAGGCTGACCCAGGGCCAGGCCCCTCTTTAGCTAGGCAGCTGCACTCCGAGATGGGCCCCCTCCACTGTGCCCCTCTGCTCTGTGGCGCCAGCCTGTCGGACTCGGCCAGCATGAATTGAGAGGCCAGCTCCATTCTGGGGCATGCACTGCCCTGTTCTTGATGGAAAGTATGCTCTCATAGCTGGGGGGAAGCTGGCTTATACAAGGGGGGACCCAAAAAATGGAATGTATTTATTTAAAAATCATGTATTTATTCTTACATGTTTAAACTTCAGTCACCTTCAAAGTACTCTCCATTTGATGTAATACACCTATTGAGATTTTTTTTTCCACTACTCAAAACAGTTTAACTTGTTGATTTTGATGCTTTTTAGTGCTTCTGTTGTTTTTGTTTCACTTCTTCCACATTGGCTAAATGTTTTCCTTTGAGGACTTTTTCATCCAGGGAAGCAAAAAAAAGTCACTCAGGGCAAAATCAGGTGAACAGGGAGGGTGGAGCATGGGGGTCATGCTTTTTGGTCAAAAGCTGCTGAACACTCAGTGTGGCCTGGGCAGGTGCGCTCGTAAATCATCCATCATGAACTACCATACAGTTCTTCAGCACTTGTTTTGTCGTAATTTTGGTAATGACATCCGTGCTGATGCCTGGTACAGATAAATATACCTCTCCTCTCCACTAGACCCTCACACAGGTTTTCCATCTCTTTGCTCCCACCCTTATAGAGAGGAAAAGGGGTTTGTCCAAAGACCCACAGGGCAGGTTGAAGACCAAATCCAGGACTTTCCCCACTACATCTTAGAAGGAAGTGGCTCTCTCAGCTCTCAAGGAAGGTGACTCAAAGAAGTATCCAGCAGGCATGGAGTGTATTAGTTTCCTGTTGCTGCTGCAACGTATTACCATAAACTTAGTAACACACCCTTATTGTCTTAGTAGTTTGGGAGGACAGAAATCTCAGGTGAGTCTCACTGGGCTAAAATCAAGGTTTTTCAGAGCCATTTCCTCCTGGGGGTGCTAGGAAAAGATTATTTCCTTGCCACTTCCAGCTTCGAGAGGCCACCTGCATTCCTTGGCTCGTGGTCCCCTCTCCATCTTCAAAACCAGCAATGGCATCACTCCAACCTCTGCTTCCATTGTCCCATTTCCTTCTCTGACTGTCCTGCCTCCTGCTTTCATTTATAGGGAATTTTGCAATTACACTGGGCTCACTTGGATAATCCAGTATCATCTCCTCATCTCCAAATCCTTGGCTTAATCACATCTGCAAAGTTCCTTTTGCCATGTAAGATACTTTATCGACAGGTTCCTGAGATTAGAACATGCACACCTTTGGGGACCAGTATTCTTCCTCTCACAGGGGATAAGTTGGCAACTAGCTGCCAGTCATCAACACACTCTCAGGGTCCCTCTCCAGTGTCCCCTGCTGTGTGCTCATCTCATTTCTTTTTCTCCTTTTCCCATTTATCCCTGTCCTTGGAGCTCATTAAGATAGCTATCATCAGCTAGAGGCATTTGCTCCAAGTCTTCTAATTCTTATGAGTGGTGATCCAAGCTAAGGCACCCCTTGACTACAGGCCTGGGAGTGAGCTTGATCAGACACCGCCTCCTGGTGGAGCCTCCAGAGCAGCACAGTCCCAGAGAAACTGTGAGCCACAGATGCTGGTCACACACACCCTTTCAAATTTTCTCGGAGTCCTATTTTATAAAAGTAAAAAGAAATAGATGGAATTAATTTTAATAATATACATTTAATTTAATCCAATATATCAAAAATATTATCATTTTAGCATTCATTCAACATAAAAATTATTAATGAGGTATTCTATGTTGAGTCTTTGAAAACTGGTCTGTATTTTATTTTTCAGCACATCTCGTTCTGGACTAGCCATGTTGTAAGTCCTAAATAGCCAACCATGCCAGTGGCTACCATAGTGGACAGTGCAGGCCTAGAACATAACCTCTGCAAGGGTCCCTGGGCCTAGAACAGTCCCTGGCACAATGGACCCTCAAACTTGTCTAAAGCAAGAAAAACAGACTGCTCTGTTCAAGCTGAGACTCTTTTTCAAAAGCCCTGGGCAGCTGACCCAAAGAATGCACCCTAATTAGACAGGTTGTTTGTATCTAATTTGCATGCATTCCTCCCAGGCATATCTGCTACCTAGGCAACTTTTCTCTAATGATTCCCACTGGGTCCACTCTTACCCAGGCAACCTTGAGAAATGCACCTTGAGCTTAGTCCTGTCTGGAAGCTGAAGGACAGAAGGGGACTCTCCCTGGAGCCAATTCCCAGGAGACCTTGAGGGTGCCTGTGTGAAGACACATGCCCCCAAACATGTGTCCACGGTCCCCCGTGATCCGGTGTTGGCTCTGCTCACCTCCTGCCTTATCACTTCATTATGGACCAAACTGCGCCCCCCTTCCCCGATTCCAAATCCATACATTGAAGCCTTAACACCCAACGTGACTGAATTTGGAGATAGGACCTTTAGGAGTTTATTAAGATTAAATGAGATCATAAGAGTGGGCCCTGATCCAGTAGGACTGGTTCCATTACAGGCAGAGGAAGAGACACCAAGGGCCCACACACACAGAGAAAGGGGCCAGGCGAGGACACAGGGAGAAGGCAGCCACCTGCAAGCAGAGGAGAGGCCTCTGGAGAACCCAAAGCTGCTGGACCCGTGATCTTGGACTTCCTGCTTCCAGAGCTGTGAAGAAATAGATCCTGCCATTTAGCCTCCCGGCGTGTGGCTGTCTGTTTATAAACCGACACACGCGTGTTCTCTCACCAGTCTTCAGTGCTTCCCTTGAACTACATTCCTGCCCTTCAGTAACCAGTCAGTCCCACTTCTAGGCATATTCCCAAGACATCTGAACACATGTTCACACACAAACTTGTAGATGAATGTTCGTAGCAATTTTGTTCATAATAGCCAAAAAGTAGAACCAACCCAAATTTTTGTCAGGTGACGAATGGATGAACAAAAACCCATGTGTTACGTTCATGCGATGGGATGTCATTCAACTGTAAAGGGGTGAAGTTCTGATACACCCTGCAATGTGGACGGACCCTGAAAACACGCTTAGTGGAAGAAATGAGACATAAAAGGATAAATATTGTATCATTTTATTTATATGTTTAGAGGAGGCCAATGCATAGATAGAGAAAATAAATTAGTTGTTGTCAGGGCTGGTGGGGGTAAAGGGGAGTGAGGAGTTATTGCTGATGGGTATGGGGTTTCTTTTTGGGGTGATGAAATGTTCTGGAATTGGAGAGTGGTGATGGTTGCATGGCATTATGAATGTACTGAAAACTACTGAATTATGTTCTTAAAAACTGAGTTTTATAGCAGGGGAATGGTATGTCAATTTTGTAAATGATTGCTTGTCATACTGGATTTCCTTTAGTTCCTTGAATCCACTGTATTGCATCCCCTCTGAGTCCTGCTAGTTAGAAGAAAAGCCTTCATCCTTCCTTACTACCTCCTTTCCCCCCAGGGGTAAAATCTAAGCTATATATCTCAACAGCAGTCTAGAAAGAGGGGGCTTTGCTGTTGAGAGTCACTGCATTGTTTACAATATGCAGCCGCATATTCTGAGAAGTAGAGCTGAGGTTGAGGATGGGCAAGGAGTGTGTTTAGGGGGTGTTTTCATTATCAACAGTGTGCATGTGTTTATTTTAAAAAATAAAGATTATTTCCAAGAGAGCTATTAAAGGTGTAGAATCTGAGGACAAAAGTACTTGTGCACACAGTGATAGATACGTGAGCATTTTGTTTGCATCTATATGCTGCAGGCAGGTTCATTATCATTTGAGACTCTAATTAGAGGGCCACTCTCCAGAGGTGGCCGTGGCAAGCATTCAGTGATCCTTCTCACTAGGCAACACAGAGGCCTTTGAATTAGCACAACAGATGTTAGGGGGGCTCTTTCTTAGGTGAAATGAGGAATGGATGGAGATAGGGCAGACATACTCACGCAGGTTCAAGTCCCAGGATCCCAGGAGCCTCTGCTCTCCACAATGGCAACCCTGCCCCAGACTTTGCAGACCCCGTGCCCCATTGGTTGGGGGTTGCTGCCACCTAATCCCGATGAGCTTAGCTGGGGTGCAGCTGGTGTGCCGTGGCATCTATTTCCACCAGACCTTTCATACAAGGCGCCTACTGGATGTGACGCGGCAGAACCCGGGCCTCACGACCTCACGGAGGAGGTGGCATGGCTGCTCTGTGGTCAGTCTGCTGTCAGTGTTTGTATGGGTGGCAGGACCCGGACTGAGCCTGTGCTGGAGCAGCGCACCACCTGGCACTGAGGCTGTGGGGTGAAGCCCTAGCACTCTTCATCCCTGCAGGTGATGGACATCCCTAATAACTGTGAACGGGCTAAACTGGCTGTGATGGGTGGAGCTGTATCCCCCAACCGCAAATTCCCACACTGAAGTCCCAGCCCCAGTACTTCAGCATGTGGCCTTATCTGAAGATTGGTCCTCACAGAGGTATCAAGTTAGAATGAGGTCATCGGGGGGGTCCCTAATAAGTATGACTGGTGTCCTCTTAGAAGAGGAGATTCGGACACAGGCACATGTGGAGGGAAGATGGGAAGAGACACAGACAGGAGACGCATCTACAAGCCAAGGAGAGGGGCCTGGGACGGGCGCTTCCCTCACACCCTCCGAAGGAAACAACCCTGACAACACCTGGTTTGGACTTTCAACCCCCAAACTGCGAGACAACACATTTCTGTTGTTTAAGCCATTCTGTTTGTGGTATTTTGTTATCAGCCCTAGCAAACCAGGACTCGGGCTTAGGTGCACTTGTGCGAGGTGATGTCGGTCAGCTCTGGCCACCAGGCCAGTGACCCTCCTACAGGAACCGCTCCTCCTCTCTTCGTCCCCATCCAAAGCTGGCTGGCCTCACAAGGCACTGAGTTCTCCGTCACTGCTAGGTACTGCAGAGTCCCAGGCCTCCACAAATAAGCAAGCTGTGTCAAAGCCGCTGGGTGGTCCATGCTCCACTGGGGAGGCGGGGCCCTGCTGCAGTCTCACAG